AAAGAAAGGGATTCTCTCTCGTCATACTGAAGAGTCATTCTGCAGAAGCCATCGCAACCCAATGGCTGAAGCAGTACCCCACTCCCCCTCCCCTCCCGCCCCAACTTCCTTTCCTGATTTAGGATGCTCTGGTCTCAGGCTTCTGTTGTCTCTTTTGTATTGCCACTTGGGCAAGAACAGTAGTGTGCATAGGGCAGAGAGTGCACAACTGCCTTTCTCTCTCTTGGCTCTGTTGTATGAGGGTCTCTGTACCTGTAGAGGAGGATGCAAAATTTGACTCTTAAAATAAATTGCACTGAAGTAGTTGCATAAGAAAAGGATCATGCTATGTCAGGGGGTGACCATAGTGGAAGCCAAGATCAAAATCAGGCATCAGTCCAAGTCCAGGATGTTAAGCTGATGATCATGATGCAGTTGTGAGTGGGGCAAACAGCAAGGCCAGGAGATCCGAAACAGAACAGGCAGAATGGTCCAAAATAGCATGACTTCTGGGACAGGGTCCTACAGGAAATAGAAGGGTTTAATAGCCTTCCCATTAAGGACTTGTGACTCCCATTGATTTCCAAACTGTACAGTTGGTCCAATAAATTATATCATCTAACATTTTTTTTTAATCATAGCTATGGGCAAAAAGACTAAAATTTGAAATTGGTATGGTTGATCATCTTGAGGACTCCTTTGCTTAGCTTGAAATAAATAAGAACCAATTTTAAATAAGGGATTATATGTGCACTGTAAAAAGCTTCAAGTATATCTCGTGCATATATGCATGGTTAGTCAGTTGTGCATTGTGGTTTGGGAGTACTTTAAGCTCCAGGACAGTGTAAGAGCATGTGCATGCCCCGGCACTTTAAAATGTCAAATAAAACTATATACATGCTTAACTTAGTGGCCCCATTCAGTCTTTCTGGTAAAGTTACTAAAAGGCCCAAATAAAAATAAAATTCAATTTTAAAACAGCGTGGAGTCAGTGTCAGAAGATATAAAATTTGGGTTTCCAAGAGTAACAGAGTGAACCACATGGCACAAATATTTATATTTACTTGTATACAACAGTCAACTTCCCCCCCAAAATTAGCCTTCCAAAATTGGGGTGTGTCTCTTAAGCAAGGAAGTTTCTGCCCTGAATAGACACTGTAAAATGGCTGCTGCTTCTTTGCCTTCTCTTTTCTCTACCAGCACATGGAGGGAGAGGGAAGAGTCCAGTAGGGACAGATGCCAAGAGGGGTGTAGTAGTGCAGTTGCACCCCACCTTGATTCTTGTTCCACTCAGAGTTTAAAGCCAGCTACCCAACAATGTAATGGTATTTCAGTTCAGGCGGTGCTGAGGGCATCAGTTGACTTCCTGGCTCATTATAATCTATCTGATTGCTCTTCGCTCCACAGGTGTTAACAACCCTCTCCTTTTCTTGATATTCCACTGATGAAGCTATCCCTTCTTTGGCAATTTTGCTGCCTGTTAGCTACTCTTGATCTCTCTCCTCCTGTTTCACAGCCTGACAGATGTATTCTAGCTCTTTTCAAAATCCTAGATCTGCCCATGGAGTCCAGTCTTCAACAGCAGCAACAGTTTTAGCTTTTGGCTGAGCTTCCAGGATTGCTAACCATTCTGCTATGAAAAGGTTAAAATTATAGCTTTTGCCTGAACAGGAAAGGGAGGGTGAGCAGGCTGAAGATATGGCTCTGTTCCTGCTCTATGCGGCTATAACCCTGGACAAATCTTGTTTTCTTCAGTCTGCCTTCCCTAAAATAAGGTGTGTTTCTTATGGGAGTGTGGGGGGAATATGTGAGAAAATACACTCATTTCTTGTTTTTTGTAAATGAGACAACAGATTTATTGTTGTCAGTTATACATGTACTGTGAAATACCGGTTTTCAAACTGAGACCTAACACACCACATTTAAAACTGAAAAGTACTTGGTATATAATCAAACTGATCAGCTTAATCATTGTAGTTATAATGAATTCTTATTTTGGGGATATATTTTAACCAACCTGCATACCATTTGTTTGTAGCCTGCCCACTTGTAAACATGCCCTAATTTAAGAACTACAGATAACATAGAGAGGATCTGCCATATGACTGAATTGGTATTGGAACCTTAATTTTTTTAATGTATTGATTTTCATGTAATTTAATTGTTTAAACAGTTATCTAAAATATCTTAGTTTTATTACAGCTTTCAATGTACCACTCTGCGGGAATGCATTCAACTGATTTTACTATGCTTCTGCTTCACTATGCCAGTTTTATTCTTTCTGATGTAGTAAAATATAAGAAATATATATTTAATAAACATCAACACTTTTGGTGTTCATATACAACATATGTAGTTCAGGTATCAGTGGACTAATGTCCATTTTGCATTTGGCATATGTCAAGGCATCTCTTTCAGAAAAACTTGAATGAGCATGGTAGCAGAACTCCTTCTTCCCCCTACAGGTCTAAGGATTTATTCCTTCTCTTTGGCCAGTTGTGAGGAAGTTTGCAATACTAATACCTACGTTTATTCTATAGAAAATGTAATGATACTATTGCATACAAATTAATCCATTTTCACTATTGTCCAGGGATATGAACATGGGTCTGGGTGTTCAGAGATCCCATGTTCCTAACCAGTTACATGGCTTTGAGCAAGCAATTTTAGTTTTCTATTCCAGTTCCCTGTCTGTGAAACAGGGATTATAATATTTGCCCACCTGACACACATGGGTCCTGAAGACTAGTGGTTTAATGTCTCTATGCTACTTTGAATATGTAAAGTGCTATATAAACACTTAAGTATTGTTACTGTTGTTAAGTCTTTGAGATAATCAAGCCATTATCTTTTGTGGGCAATACATTTTGGTCCCTCTTTCTGCTCAAAGTCTATAGTGGAATATTTCAAAGAAACACCTACACCTGTATTGATTTTAAAGTCCATATTTGATGCTGTCCAGCTGGTTGAAAATCTGAATCTGTAAAACTGTTATAATCTGTATAACAGTTGAATGAAACTCTCATAAAGTATGTTGAAATGTTTCTTTCCCCCGTGCATAGATTTGATGCTACAGAGGCCCAGCTCTGTTTCATAGTGTTCCAGTTTCTCACAGGAACTCTGGGTCCTTGGTTCTGGAACTATACGGTAAAGCTAGACTGAATGCTACCCACTGAACAATGGCATGGATTCTTTAAAGACAGCACCTTTGTCATGCACAGAGTAACTCAGGAGATGAGAAGTGTCTTTCTAATGCTAATTGCTTTAATTAGAAAAAACAACGGCTAAAGCATAAAAGAGCAGTAAAAATCCTGTCTGATTAAAAATGAGTCTTTTCAAAGCAATTTATGGTTTAATTAAAACCACACATTACATTATTTTTAACAAGGACTTTTACATTGGTTATTTTAAAGTTTGCTGTGTGGGCTATGTTTTTATGGATACAAGATAACCAAAGTTTCAGAACTTTTTGCACGTAGGTCTGGACAAATTTGGTTGGAACTACCTTTAGAAAGCTTTTCTTGGTTTAGTACCTTTCCACCAAAAATACACTTGTTTGAGAGGCTTATAGGATCAAATGTTTAGATAATAACAAAGTTAGGAAAAACCTTATGGTCATAGAAGACAAACACTTGCATCAAGCTTGGAGGCTGGAATAAAAGACCTTTGAAGTCCTTTCCAAATTTCTGATTCTGTGAAACCTGTGCAGCTTTATTCTTGAAGTCTAGAGACTTAATTACCATAACTATGTTCTTTGTCATACACTTTCACTGTCTGGATGTGCCCACTGCTTACCATTAAAATGTTTTTCTGAATATCTAAGCTATACTTTCTTTTCCTCTTCTGCACTTATTTATCTCAGATGTGCATGCAGCTGTTTTTGTGCATTAAATATAATTTTAATACTATTAAACTGAATTTCCTCAGTTTCTTAGCATGTTGCATGAGTTGAGTCCTTATGATATTTACCTTGTTTCTCTGTCTTGGGCTGAAGAGCAATACTTCGTGTGTGTGTGTGTGTGTGTGTGTGTGTG